GAATCTCTCTTTTTTTTTTTTTTTTTTTTTTTTTTTTGCTTCATTCATTGGAGTAGTTCGACCTGACGAAGAAACGAGTTCGTCGGTCTCGTTCATCGAACCGAGAACCTTCTTGTTCGCCGGTATTTACGACACGTTGTTGGAACGATGCCGACCGGATACTTGTTGCCGCCGCCTCTCTCTCTCTCTTTCTCTCTCTCTCTCTCTCTTTCATCCTCTCCCGACGTCATTCCGCATTCCCGCTCCGCTATCTAGCTTCCTAGCAATTTTTCCCCGCTTACAACGCGGTCCAACTTTTTATTTACTCCTCTCTTTCAACCGCCCTCTCTTCAGTCTTTCTCCCTCCAAGCGGCCCTTCCATCCGTCCGTATGATCATGCCATTCCACGGTGATGATCCTCTGCTCACTAGGGCTTATATAGCCTCCGCCCTCGGTGCACGTACACACACACACACACACACACACACCGACAAAACCCGCTCTCTCGCGCACACCTTAAAAGGAACACGCCGCACACACACACACACACACACGTTCTATCGGCGAGCGTTATTGCGCCACGGTGTTAACGAATGTCCACGCGATTCGATACACCCAGCTCCGGTGTCTATTCGACTGGCAAGACACTGCGGCGTGTAGCTTGCTGCGGGCTTGACAAGTCGCACTCGACAAACGCGCGCGTCAGGGACAATAGATCGCATGAATAAAATGGAGCAAGTGCTTCTCTTTTGATCTGTTGCAGCGCAACTTGAGAGAGCGGGATATAAGTATAAGAATGTCAAGGTATATCTCGCGTGAGGTATGTACATGTTAAAAGTTGAAACATTCGTTTCTCTAAAAGTATATCGCGAGAGAGAGAGAGAGAGAGAGAGAGAGAGAGAGAGAGATCATGCGAGAAACGCAGTTATGTAAGACGGCGCGATGAGACGATGAGATTTATACAACCGGAGGATTTCTTATATTTTATTTTCCGGGAAGGTATTCCCGTACAGCTATTTTGCGAATCCCCTGAATATTTCATTACGTCGTAAAAATACGATGTGTTTCAGTTTTGCGCCAATTTATCTTTTTTTTTTTTACTCGCGTGTTCTCGAATCTCTCTTTTTTTTTTTTTTTTTTTGAGAAAATCGCGATAAATCGCAGTTTTGACTTCTGTAGGCAGAGAGACACGCGAGTTTTTTTCTCTGATGAAAATATACGTGTAAAAACATGAATTGCAAACTACGCGTTTTTTAAAAACAGGTATCAGTTCCGCACCATTGTCTGCTTGACATACAGCAAGTATTTTTAGCATTAATGAAGCTGAGCTTTGTGCGTGAAGGTTCAGGAGGCATATATCCATCTGTGTGTGCGATGGTTTCACGTCCGTGTGTCTTACAATCCACCTGCGCGCATCCATCTTGTGTAGCAGCACACACCCTTTTGCCTTTTTCTTGTTGCTTTTTTTCCTCTCCATGTGATAAAAAGACTTTGAAACGTTGATGTGAAACCTGCTTACGTAAATAAGGAAGTGGCTTACGTCATTTTATAATAGACCGAGTTAGCTACTAGTTATCCGTTTAATGAGAAGGGAGGTGTGAACGCACAAATATCGGATTGAACACATGGTTTTTATCGGATTAAAACCACACGATGTGGTTTTTTTTTCTTTTCTTTTTATATTGTTCGATACAAAAACGCACTATCTCTTTTCTTTCGTGATATTTAAATACGCGATGTTAAATAATTTTTATTTGTATATACGATATTGAAATTATTATTGCGATTATAAACGCGTTACGGGCAAAAACTTTGTGATACTGTGGAATAAACATTTATGTAAAAATTATACACAGTGTGTTCTTGTAACAAAATAATTCGCGCAAAAATGGAATTCTCTTCTCTGTTTTGTAAGAAAAAAGAAATTAATTAATAACATTATTCTCTTTTCATTAATCGAAGTGTGTTTAATTAATAAAATATAATACCGTAACGATCACGTGAAATGTGTTATATGAGTATATAGTAGACAGACGTTTCCTGTCTGTGTGCGCGCGCGCGTATATGTGTGTGTGTGTGTGTGTGTGTGCGTCAAAAAAAGATTTCACTTATTATTAACACCGCTTTCCTTGATTCTTTCTACGTAAACGGAACGACTGAATTTTCAGATAATTACAGGCAGTCGGTTCTTTTGTTGTGGACGGTTTCACAATAGCTTCGTAAAATAGAAGCACGGCAATAACGAGGACAAGTATTTACGAATGATTTCACGGTAGGACTACACAGGGAAGATGCTCACGAATAACGAGGACAAGTATTTACCCTAGGGAACATCGAAACAAAAGGATCTCATACTCTATTCTTTATTCTCGCGGTTTCTTCAGGTATTCACCTTGGAGACGTGTCCACTATCGCAATAATGTTAACGTCACGCTCATTAATTAAGTAAAATATAATAAAAAATACAGATGGTAAACACGCGGGAATTAAAATCTGTTTTCTATCTTTTCTCTAATTACGTAGTATTTACGAAAATAAAGTGTTTTTAAGGAAACATATTAAAATGTTCTTAAACAAATTTTTATATATTTCCGTAAATATATTACGCGTAATTAGAAAACAGAGAGAATAGATTTTAATTCACGTGTGTTGACCCTCTGTATATTTTGTTCATTATATTTTACTAATTAATCAACGTAACGTTGACATTGTTGCGACAGTGGACACTCAAAAAGTTTTAATAAATTAGAATAAAGTTTTATAAATAAAAATTGTTATACACCAAACATAACTGCTTACTATACTAAGCAAATGTAGGAAGGAAGTGAATGAGGAAAGATAGATATATAATAAAAAAAAAAAAGAGAGAGAAGATGCAGCGGAAGCGGAGGTCCGATGGTAGGGTAGTTGTGTGTGTGTTAGGTAGGATAAATTAGAAATAAGTTAGTGGATAAGATAGTCGAGAGAAATGTATGTGTGAGATAGGAGCGTTATAGTTTGTAAGATAGTTTGTAAGAAAGATATGTAAGCGTAAAAATTTGTAACCCTTTTTTTTTTAGGGGAACGAAAATAAATATTCTAATTCTAATTCTAATTCTACTAAGCAAATGTTTACTTTAATAACATAACTGTTTAACTTTCTAATGCGATATGTAAAAAAAAAAATAGCTTCACTTACTTTCGTTGCCCGAATCGGTACTGATTGTGCAAAAAAAAAAAAAAAAAAAAAAATTACCTCCGCATTGTGTCAATGTACTCTATGATTACGTGGCGCTTGCCGTTGAATACGGAAAATTTCTTTGAAGTTGGGGAAAGCGAGAAAATCACAGACGCGTGTAACGGGTCGTATATATTCAAACGAGACTTTATCCCCCCTCTCGGTGAGTAACTCCGGCTCAGTCGAACTTCAGACGCGATAATCTATGACTCGTGTTCTCCTCGAACGAAACGACTTGCCTGGCACGGAGTTCTCATTCAACCTTATAATAGTATGACAAGGGGTTGGCAAGTGTCCGGAACCGCATTGGCAGCTCATGCACATGAAGTGTTTTCGCTTTACAGGTGTCACATTGAATCGCTATTCATACACACGTATCACACACACATATACTTGTTATATAATCTCTCTCTCTCTCTCTCTCTCTCTCTCTCTCTCTCTCTCTCTCTTCCTCTCTCTGGTTCGTGCAATAGAACTGTAAAATTGTTTATCCACATATAAAATAAAAATACGGAGACAAAGACGCGTGTAACATCGGCCTCAACGTATTCTGCTTTGTGTCGACGTGGATCACTTTTAACATTTCGCATTAAATGATCTCTCGTAATGTAAACGAAGGAGAGGAGAAAAAAATGCTCGCGAGAGAAAGAATGAGAGACAGCGGCGTGTGTGCGGCACTGCTTTGTGAAGCTGCGAAATATCGATAAGAGCGGTTTGATGACTTTAATTCAAAGCGGGTCTTTGTTACGAATTACGGGAAAGAAGCTGCTGCTGCTGCTGCTGCTGCTGCCGCGCGCTCAATTTCAGACCGTGCGCGGCTTCCGATCGACTCTGCTTGAATGATTTAAAAAACGGGTTCACCCTCTTTAAGGCGTACCCTGTCGCTTTTTGCCTACCGGCGATGAGGCCATGCGCGGGGGTTGGATGCGGTTCCATTCATGCTTATTTCAAGCTCATTGTGCACCTGGTGTATTCACTCGCCTTTGACTCGCTTCTCGCGTTGCCACTGCAGCAACGCTCTCCGAAGAGAGAGAGAGAGAGAGAGAGAGAGAGAGAGAAAGAGAGTAGGGCCGTCTCTATGCCGGTCTGTGTATATGTGTGTAGTGTGTAGAGAATCAGGAAATACCGGTGTCACATTTTCTTCGACGGTATAACAAACATGCTCGCAACGACGAAAGGAATAGGAACGTTGCGCGATTCACTGAACTATCGAACCTTTCATTATGCGTAAAATGTAATTTACACGTGTGTACGATTGAAAATAACCGTTTGTCCACGAAGAAGCAAATTCGCGATTTCGTCTGATTTCGCAAACACGCGCTTGCTTTATTCGCGCGTCATTAGTCTGAATTTTAACCCGATGTTAATGACGCGCGAAATGCGGAGAAATTAAAAAAAAAAAAAAAAAGGATACGATATGTCATGCGAGCTCATTTGATGGTCCGCGCAAAAGCTGCCGTATTACTGTCAATAATTCTCGTGAGCCGCGCGCGTACAACGTGTAATTTATTACGCGCGCTNNTTTTTTTTTTTTTTTTTTTTTCCATGCGTTCTCGTATAATTAATATCCACCGAGCCGAGTCTGTTTGCGTACTTGTGCGCGTTCCGTAGTTTAATGAAAAAAATTCCCATTGTTCATTCTCTCTCTTAGGAAGCTGAAGAGACAACGGGAGCGACTGTGCCGATACGTATACAACCAGATTTTGACAGCAGAATGTACCCAGTTAAATGGGACGTTGCTTGACCCGGATGACCCGCGCTGGAACAGTGGTGAATGGAACCCGGATTTTCTACCCGACTGGTTTCCGACAAACGCGACGAATATTACAGCTTTCGGGAACGCTACGACTCCGTCGACGTCGGGTAATGTAATTAAAAATATAAAAATCATGCGAATTGCGTTATGTACATGTGTGCGTGCGTCAATTTTCATACGCGTCATATACGTGTGTGTATAAAAACCAAAAATTCTTCATAAAATTTAACGTCATTTTCTTTCGATAAATGTTTCGTCAGAAACTTTTGCGCAAACGCGTAAATGATAACATTTATATTCGCACGTCATCGAACATTTAACAAATTAACGCGATGTTTAACCGATTTTGCATGCTGTTTGTTGATGAACGTTTACGTACCAAACAGATGAATCTCTGACTCCTGTTTTGCCACCATTTACACTCTGGCAGACGGTGTTGATCGCTATCTGTCTGGCGATATGCATATTGCTAACCGTCGGCGGTAACATCCTCGTTCTCCTAGCATTCATCGTAGATAGGGCCATCAGGCAGCCAAGTAACTACTTCATCGCATCATTAGCTGCCACTGATATGCTTATCGGTAAGTCTTTCCGTAAAGTCTTTTCGTACCTCCCCGTGCGTAAGGAGAATTCTGATAAAAAAAAAAAAAAATATCGTATCTAAATCTACGCTGAGCCGCGCTGTGGTTTCTTGTACAAATACTTTTCGTAAACGTATATTCGATAACCAACGTTCGAAATTAAATAATCCGAAATAAATTTTTAAATATTCAGCTCGAGCACGTGTAATATATTTCTGTGGATGAAATATTCTCCGATATATTCATTGTGTACATAAAATTCGATCTCTACTCACGTACGGATAATATATCGATATCTATATATATATATATATATATATATATATATTTACGTACATACGATTCGAATGGTCTGATGATTAGACGTGACCTCAACGTTTGATAATATTTCTAATGCAAATTCTCTCGTGAAAATCTGTCAATGTGTTCGCAACGATGGAAATTGTAGACAGACACGTGTAATTTGGTTAAACGCGACGTTTATGAGCGTGGAACATATGTAATCAGATATACATAGACGGGGGATGACAGAAACCGATTGTATTCACAAGCGTAATGATGTAATTGTTGCACAGGTACTGTGTCGATGCCATTCTATACGGTTTATGTGCTAATGGGATACTGGAATTTAGGACCTCTCCTCTGCGATCTATGGCTGTCCGTCGACTATACGGTATGCCTGGTGTCGCAGTACACCGTTCTTCTCATTACGATCGATCGATTCTGTTCGGTGAAGATAGCCGCGCAGTATCGCAGCTGGCGTACGAAGCAGCGGGTCATCTGGATGGTGACCATCACCTGGATCATCCCGGCGCTGCTGTTCTTCATCAGCATCTTCGGCTGGGAGCATTTTATCGGCTACCGGGATCTAGCACCGGGCCAGTGTGCCGTTCAGTTTCTCAAGGATCCGGTGTTCAACACGGCTCTGATAATCGGCTATTACTGGACGACGCTGATTGTCCTGTTCATCCTTTACGGCGGCATATACAAGACCGCGTACGACATGCAGAAGAAGAGCGAGGCCAAGCAGCGTAAGATGCAGTCGATGGTCGCGCTGAGCGCGGGCGCGATGTCCGGCATGGCCGGTCGCGCTGCCGGCATAGGCATCACCAAGACTCAGAGCGCCTTGCTGAGCCAGGACAAACCGAAGATCGGGACCACATCGGTGGACGACGGTGCGGATACGGCGGATACGCAGAAAACGCCGACGAAGACCACCAGTACCACTGTAGCTTCGGATTCCGCGAACAAACTCGGGACCGCAAACATCGCAGTGACCGATGCTGAGAAATCCGAACGTTCCAGCAGTCCCGCCTTCGATTCGGACGAGGAGAGCACGGTCGGTACCACTCAGCAGTCACTCAACGTCATCAGAAAGCGATCGTCCTTGGCGGGTATGATGGCCCAGGCTGGCGCTCTTCAGGTGTTCGCCACCAACGGGCGTTTGAACGGCATTATGCCGGTCAAGGTCGAGCTGAGTGTGCCAACAACCGGTAAACTGCTGCCGGTGAGTCCGACGCGCGACGTGCAGAAAGCTCAAACACTGCCCAAGATACAGGAGCTCAGTCTTCTGGACACTGACAATCCCGCGGTCGAGCCGACCGACAAGTCCAGCAGTCGCACATTAACGCCCGAGCAGTCCTTGAAATCGAACGACGTCGAAGGCAATCAAGAATCGATCGCCTCCGTCGAGGCAGCGTCGCCCGCTCACCTTAAGCACGTGTCGATCAATAGCGTTCAGCAGAACATTATACCGCCGCCGACGCAGTTCCAAAGCAGTCCTCCGGTGTCCTCCGACAGCCCGACAACGTCCTCGTCGACCGATCGGCCCAAGTCGTTGGTGGTGCGCGGTCAAGGGTATGACATCCTCACCGGTCTGGACGGCGGCGATCTACGCTACATGGACGAGAGCTCCATTATTTTGCCCAGTCCTTCTTACGAGAGTCCACCGTCTTCCTTCTCCTGCAGCCTGGCGAATCCGCTGTCGACTGCGCCGCCGTCGCCGATTCTTGGTGGCGGCACCATGACAGCCGCCGCGAGTACCAGTCTGTTGCAGACCGCCTTGATCAGAGCGACGGCACAGCAGGCTGGAACCACGCAGATGGCTCAGATCGTTCAGAACAAGCAGCATCAGCAGTTACAACCCACGATGTCGAACGCGTCAAGTCAGACGCATCCGCCGCGTGTGTTCATCACGCATCAGACGAACGCCGCGTCGCAGACGTCACCCACTGTCAGCAAGGTGCACACCGAAGTGTCGGTCAACGCTGGTGGGACGAAGCGTCAACCGGTAACGACGGTGGTCGCGACTACCGTGGCCATGCCAGTGGACACGTCCAACAATACGAACGATCGGATCTCGGATCAGGTTACGAAGACGAGCAACAATCCGCCGCAGAACTCGTCGTCCAGCAGCATAATGCCGACCGGTTCGGCCGCTACCAACAGCCAGGAGACGAAGAGACAATCGTCGAAGAAGGAGACGTCGGACACGGAGCAGAGCGGTTCCAGACGGGACTTCGTCAAGTCTATCGGGAAACGGCTGAAGGCCAAGACCCAGAAGAAGGACTTCACGATAGGTCGACAGAAATCGCGAACGGAGAATAGAGCGCGCAAGGCGTTTCGCACAATATCCTTCATCCTGGGCGCGTTCGTCGCTTGCTGGACGCCGTATCACATATTGGCCCTGGTTGAGGGTTTCTGCGTGGAGCCGCCGTGCACCAACGAGCACCTCTTCATGTTCTCGTACTTCCTGTGCTACGCCAACAGTCCTATGAATCCGTTCTGCTACGCTCTGGCGAATCAGCAGTTCAAGAAGACCTTCACCAGGATACTGAAGGGCGATTTGCACATGACGTAAACACCCGATGTTGCGCATTTGTTTCGATAATGTAGAACATTACATTAGTATAATAACATAGGCGATGCAAATATAAAATTATTTGCGAAGATGGCCTTCCAACACGTACTGAAATACACTCATTCGTCTACTACAACTGTGGTGAATCTGGACAATAATCAAATGAAAATAATGTTCTAAGACTCGGTTGTCGGCGATAGAGTCGTCGGGCGTTCGCGCGCCTTTTTGTACATACCGTAAACACATCGCGGCTCTCCGAATACCGAAGTACGCGTTTCGTACATGTACATACGCTGTAAACAACACACGAATGTGAATATTTGTTAACCTCTATGTAACGCGCTTGTGAAAACGACGCAAGTCAGTCTTAGACGATTATTTACGCGTGGCGCGACAACAAATAAACACGTTGCCGAACGGTGCATTCCTAGCACATCGGAACGAACAACGCTGCGAACAATAGCGAATAGAGAGCTTGAAAAAGATTTGAGGAACGTATGTGTTATCAATTAAAAAAAAAAAAAAAAAAAAACGTAGTTATTGCGCATGTAACGCGTTATAAGATTTTAGTCGTAGTCGAGAACGAGAAGGAATATCGTTCATCACGAAAGACGAAAAGTGAAAATAGTAGATGTATTAAGAAAAATTTCGCGCGCGCGCGCGTTATAGTCGATCGTATCGTGTATTGAAACACTCCGCCGCTTTGGATTTTTGCTGTTGATCGCGCAGTAATCGCGGAGCGTTTTTTTTTTTTTTTGTTTTTTTTTGGAGAAAAACGTGCGTCATTAATTATCACGCATCAACACGAGTTATTTAATCACGCGAGTTCTTGTTTTGCAAACAACGAATCAGCTCGGGGTAGCTCGCCTCGTTGAAGTACCGGGAAATCAATGATTTCTCTCACGGCTGTCGATCGTGGATCGAAAATAATACACTGCCTTGAGATGGCCTAATGTGCGGGCCTTTTCTCTTTGAATTCTGACAATTGGTACTATCCTCACAAAAACGAGCTCCCGTCGACGTCTGATTGATGTTTCACGGCTTACATCCGTCATGACACGTAGGAAAAAAAAAAAAAAAAGAAACGTTCTATCCCGAAAATTATTGTCAAAATCACTTATTTCGATATTATATAAAAATTACATCAATTACATCAATTTAATTGTACTCTCACTTACGAATAAGTAATGTTACTTTTTCTATTTCGCACACAGAACGATGTGTTTGCTTGATAATTTGATTAAAGAAATATATATAATGCGATAATTAATTAAAGTTACTATAACAAACTGTGATTGTACAACTTGTACCGTCTTGTAATTCTCAAAAAACTGCTAACACTTCAGTGTATATTTACGTAATTATTAAAAATAAACGCCTAATTTTTTTTTTTTACTATTTTACATTTTAGCACGTGTGTCTCGCGATTACTGCAACTTGTTAACAAACTGAAAAAAAATCGAAACAAACTCTGTAACAAACAATTCGTAATCACATATCTCGTCCAATAAGCAAAAATATCAGTTTTTAGTTGCTAATCAATTAGAAGTAAACTGCTAAATAATTTACTGTATATTATAAACTTTTATCGCGCATAGTTTTATACCTTTGTATAATTTTCGTACGTATACGCAATTGCTTCGCTCGTAAATCTTATCAAATATTCCTGCTAGCTTTGTCGCTGTGAAAGAAGCTGTTACACGTTCTTCCAAAATAAAATAAAAAAATTAAAAAAATAAAAAAAAACAAGCGCAAAGTATGTCCCGAGAGATGTAAGAAACTTTTACATTTATATCGCAGGGATAACGTCTGCAATTTTTGAAAAAATCGCTAAAGGGACGCTTTCGTGGAACATTTTTAATATCTTCCAAAATTCACTGCCAATAGTAAAAGTCATGTTTTGTTTTGTTACATTGAAAACATATGTACCGCGCGTAGTTATCGGCCATGACAAGAAAGAAGAGCGTATTAATTTGAATGATTTCTCTTTTTCGATTTTTTTTGATACACATATGAAATTATTTATCATATTTTTACTACACCGAGAGATACGCTTTTATAACTTGTAAATTACATTTGCATTTTTGTGCTTTACATTAGCGTGAAAAAAAATGTTCGGAATACATTTATTGCTACACATATATCGCTTTTAATTTTGCAACAGTAACGTGATGTAATGATGTATGCAGAAGTAGGATATATAAAAATACGCGTTAATTTCTTGTGAAAAGAAGTGTAAACAAATAATTAAAATACTAATTAATATTGAGAGAGAAGGGAGATCTCATCTTTACAGATTGTCTCCTTGATGATATATTGGCGTGATTACGTTTAAGTAATAGAAAATTTAGCGTAAATGGGGGTAAAATGCTTTTGTCAANAAAAAAAAAAAAAAAAAAAAAAATTGTATCAAAATATTAAATGTAAATGTTTCTTTGATACAATCGTACATGCAGAACGCGGGACTGCCGCCTACACAAAAAATAAACGAGCAGTCTGTATATCTATTCATGTATCAAATGATATAATGGATGTGATAATGTAATGTTGGTATGAAATAACACAAGTTTATGATTTCAAGTCCAAAGATCAGCTTTTAACTGATTGAAAAACAAAAAGAAAAAAAAAATAAAACGATACGACGTTAAAATATAGCGAACATTTTTGTGTGAGTGTACAATATGTCTATGTATAGTTCGTAATCTAAAATCTAAATAATAAACGATAAGTGTGTACGTACACAAATAGCGGTTTGCTTACTGTACAAAGATTAACATTGAGAGATAAAACATTATAGATAAAATATTAACGCGGAGAGAGACTTTGTAGAAATATTAATAAAGTATTGAGCGCGAGAGAGAGCGGTGTGCTTTTTGTAGCGTGTGTGTATATGTGCACACACACGTATATACGCAATGTATCGTAGTACACTATGATGGATAGACAGCGGAAGAGGGAGGGGAGGGTTATATTAGCGCTAAAACACAAGAAAGATCGGTAGACGTGTGATGAAAAATCTAGCAAATAAATATTATTAGCACTAGCCAATAGCGCGGTTAAAAAAAAAACGCAGATAATAAAATTAGCCGCATAAAGCCTATATATGTGAGATCGTATTAAAAAAAAAAAAAAAAGCAAGCGTATTGTCTAGATCACACTTCATCGACCGGGAAAAAAATATAGTTGCACGTCATATTGTATCTTTCTCTCTCGCGATTAAAGCTTTTATTGTAGATTGTTCGTTGTGTGTCCGGAAAACGGGCGATCATCAAAATTACGGGCGACGGGCCGGAAAACACGTGATAAATATGCGCTACATTCACACACGCACACACACACACACATGCCTGGTACACTTCAATTTAATACTGTCTATGAAAAATTCAAGCGAGTTCTTCATCTGTAAACAACTTTGAAAAATTACGAGAGTAACTCCCACCTATTGATTAGTTAATCCCGTTAATTGTGCAAAATACGCCTCAAATTTTTTGCATCTTTTATAAAAACAATTTTTTGTCAAATTAAAGAATCTGAATAATAAATTGATCCAGAAACAAAATTAAACGATTAAATCAAATATTTGCGATATTGTTTTTGTCTCGCATATTGTAACATGTTGTAAAGTTTATAATAATGTACGAGTGGATAAACATCAGTTTGATAATTTTGTATATTATTTTACAAATCTCCTAAATAAAACTAACGTGCGAGATCAAAAGAAGAAAGAGAACTCAATTATATTATAGACAATACGCTCTCATGTGTATGACAATCTTGATTTTAAGAATATTTATAAGTTAACTTAATTGTTTTGTTATTCTTATTTATGTGTTATTAATTTTTGACTTAAAATTGAAATTTAAATTTTGGAAATCTTTAACAAAAGAAGCAATACAAGTAATTAATTCTAACATTTATAGTAAAACTACTACTTTTTTCCCACAAATATTGCAATTTTGAAAATTATTAATTATTAATGAAATTATTAAATTGCAGCTCGAAAAAATTGACAGCTCGCAAAATTTATGCTTTATTAATTGTCATTGCGTTTTTGTTGTTACTTTAATATATGCGTATATAGCTTATAAGTACGTAGTTATAGAATATATGGTGTAATTATGTGCAAATGTGCTTTATAATAATATACTTTTAGAATAATGCAGTATGATGTTCCAATTGCAGTACGAGACTATATATATTATTGACATTTAGAAATACATAAGCCGCTATGCGTGTAAACGTCAAACGTCTCTGCAAATCGGCGCGATTCTAATGAAAATATAGTAAGTTCTGATGAAGTTTGTAACATATAGATGTTACACAAACAATAATCGAATTTTATTTATATATTGCGTATGTGCAAAGCCATGCACTCAACAAGGTGTACGTAAAACTAGCAAAACGCGCATTATGAAGTATATATATATATATAATAAATAACACTTAATTCTTAAATCTGTAATTATAAAAAAAGCGACTACAATAAAATGAAATAATGCGATGTAAACAATCTTTCTTTTTCTCTCCATCGATTTACACTTACTTTGTTTGCAGATAAACGCAATGCTCCGTGTTGGTCTCAATTTTTCCTCTGTAATAAACACAGTTATTTTAAAATAAGCGCATTTTTGTGAGATAATAAAGAGAGCATAGATAAACAGTTTTTATTAACAAAAACCAAAAGATTTGCGAAGAGTCGTTACGCGACATTTAAGTTAAGGGTTGCACAAGCGCTTGGTAATAGGCAACTCACTTTACACACTCAAGGACACAGCGAGCTGTCTACTTCCTAGACGTTTTAACTCTTTCATATGTGATTTAGAAAAACAATTTGTTTGGAAAAACACATCTTAGATTATGTTAGATTATATCTCACAGAAATTGGAAATGTCTTTTGTTTATCGTATTACAACATCGCACGTAATAAAATAAACGCGCCTTTTTTCGCTTCGCACGCGTCGATGGTGGTTTATTTAATAAAAGATGTTTCGAGCTTTCTTTTGTCGCAAATTGAACATAATTCATTATGTAATATACATTAATATGTAATAGGATTACTGTTTTTTTTTCAAATAAATACCTTAGAGAGAAAACTGCCGGAAATATTTTTTCGCGCGCGTTTTGACTTTTGTTAAATAAACGGAGAAACGCGCTTCTTTCTGGTTTCATTCAGAGCAGCCAATTTCTCTCGCTTGCCAACGACCTAACGTGAAATTACTTCCCCGGCGATACTAGCGCATCAAGTGGAAATGGGAACGTTTGGACATAGTGCGCGCACCGACAATCACCGACAATTTGCCCGTGGACATGGCTACGTAGTTGCCAATGTGCACCACCCATGGGTATTGCGCTGGCTTACAGGGCGGAAAGCGATTATACAATTCTCTCACAACCTGGCCGTTCTCACAGTCTTCTCTTTGGTGCTTGTTATCCAATGTTGTGAATATACGTACAACGCAACTCGATTGTCATTCGTGAATTTGCTATTGTTACAAGCTGCGACGCTCGAAATTCACATATCCAGTGAGCTGTGTGATCATTTAAATCTACGTATTCGGTAAAAAGTAATTTATTTCACATCGTTAATAAAAGAATCAACCCGAGTGATTGTCATGGTAAGTAACACATTTACAAAAATGTTTACGAGACATTTTGCAAGCGCAAGAGATCCAAATTACATTTTTAAATATATAAACGGTCTCAGGATTTCCGTAACTTATAAGGTCGCGTCAAATGTTTATGTTACGGATGGGTTTGCATTGTTGCTAAATATTGCATCATGATTCATCTACGCATCACTACGCATGTACGGCGACTCTTAACCATGGCTGCCACTACGAAAGGATTGACGCGCGTTTTGAAACGCGCACTTCGCGCGAACGTAATCGCGTTTCGCGCGATGATGAGTCATCCCACGTGACTCATGCTACTTGTCAACCGCGGGACTCTATGATTCCGTTTGCTATTAGCGAATGCATGTCTATATACGTGTGCATATATATACATACACGTATGTATATAAGATCAAAACTATGTATGGATATGTAATTTTTTATATTATAGAACATGACAGATAGTTTTGCAAACTTATTCATACATCATGATAAGCACAAATTCTTTTATCTCGTGCTTTTATCAGATATCACACATTGAACTAGATTTCGTTAATGTCTGTGTAAAGTTGCATCTTTATAATGTTTAAGCATTACATATTGGTGCAACTTTATGTAAGCAGACATTAATGAAGTCTGATAAAGTACGACATGAGTAGATACTTGCGTGTCATCGTGCAAAATAAATAAAATGTTACATCATTATATACGCGATGTGTCAGTATCTTTTTGAACTTTTAGATGGACGAGGAAAGAACAACAGAACACCAATTAGAATCAGCTATTTGGGCAACAAGAAGGCTTTTCGAATTTAAACCATTACCTGGACTCGATCCGAATCTTCATCATTGGGAATACTTGCGAGCACAGCAAGAAATCGATTGCGATGAAGTGTATCCCGGAATATACATTGGCAACGGGTACGAGAACATGCAAGAAAATAATATTAAAACATATATATATACACACACACACATACACATACAAAGGAATTATGATTAAAATTATCTCTAATTATTTTTCTCATACAGTACTACAGCAAAAAACAAGAGATATCTTAAAACGTTAGGCATAACACATATATTGAACGCTGCCGAAGGAAAACGATTTGGATTTGTAAATACCGATAGTAATTATTACGCAGACACGACGATGAAGTATCTCGGTTTACCAATTAAAGATCTGCCTACTGCAGATATTAGTGAATACTTTCACGTAACAGCAAGTTTTATTGACGAAGCGCTAACCAGAGGAGGTAATATTTTTATAAGACATTTTTGAGAGAGAGATTACGCTTTCAATGTGATAATATATGAATTGAAAATTGATTATATTTGTTTTAGGCAAAGCGTTTGTGCACTGCATGCAAGGTGTATCCCGGAGTGCTACGTGTGTTATCGCATATTTAATGATAAAAAAGAATATGTTAGCGGTCGATGCTATTAACTTGCTTCGCACAAATCGAGATATTCATCCAAATAGTGGCTTCCTTCGACAACTGGCACACTTGGATAATCAGTTACGTAGGCAAAGACGTTTGCAACATCGTTGAACCGCGAAAATTCCGTGTAAATGATGATATATTTTCATCATATCTTTCCAAATAATTAACGTAAAGTAGTACATAGACGAGATTGTATAAATATATAATGTGAGATATGTAGAGTATATATATATATATATATATATACTTCATAAATTTATGTATAGTAAATTAAAAATGTATGAAGAAGTAACTTTGTGTGCGATATTACAATAAAATTCTAACGAACAATTTTTATGCTTTATTCGCGTGATATTTAATACTTTCGATCGTCGCAACAAAGATTTTTATCATGCTAATCTCAACATTTTCTACGGGTTTTACGACTACCATGGTGTAATGCAAGAGAACTGTAGCATCAGTAGAAAAAAAAAAGTCAACACAACATCAAATCATATATTTTATACGCTATTTACATAATTACAGTCGCTTTTTCTCGAGAAATTTATTTATTTATACGCATATGTGTGTGAATAAGAAGGAATATAATAATAAAAGCGATAATGAGAATATTATGTAAATAAAGTCAATTTAATGGTAACGTAACATACACAGCGTAACTTGCATCTATTCTCCATAGGGGACATATTTTTCTTTTGCGTTTAATCTCTATTTGATTATATCAAAACATTTCATTGCACTTACACGTATAGTCTTTTCTTTCTTTTTAATCTCTTTAATATTTATCTTGAAAGACAAACATCAAACAATATATGTTCTGTTTTTTTTCGGAGAACGGTAAATGATATAGCGACAACTACAATGACTTAGCTGTTTTCATTCAACAGAAACAGGATAGTTTGTCATGAATATTACTATTATTATGTGTTGTGTCTATTATGCATTAACAATCCATATAAAATTGTTCGCAGTCTCGCTATTTTTATAGGCAATCAGTAGGAATTCTTCTTATTGTGTATGTGTGTGTGTGTACAATGTGCGTGTACACAATAGATATAGACTAGACCACATTGAGACATCTTTGCAAAAGTTGATTGAAAGATCAATTGCTCAGTTGCTCGATAATAAACGTGTTCTGCAATAACATCTGTTTAATATTTAACATCTCGCATTGTTTCTCCTAAATAATCACTACAATTCCGTTTTTTTTTTTTTTTTTTTTTCAATTTCATCGAGACTCATTTAGCAGAATAGAAAACTATAAAACATTCGCCAAACTTCTTTCACTCACGCATTAACTTCAAAATTTACGATTTTATGTATGTTTGCATCGTAGACACTTCCCAAATGCGAAATTTCTAATAATTTAATGACACATCTATGAATAATGCATATAATACAGATATGATACAAAGCGTATGTAATGTGAGTTAGAATTTCTTATAATCACAAAAACATATTAGTAGTGTATTTAAAATAATGCATAATAAACGAAATTTGTATGCACATTGATAAATTTCTCACGGATGCAACCGTGTCAAGAGATAAACAGTAATAAATTCCGACAATGAGTCACAGGAATTCATAAAACGATAACAGAAATCAATCATCGAGTCAAAGGAATGTATAAACTAAACTTCAAACAATATCTGAGCAATAAATATCTAAAAATTAAAATTAACCGTAAATGTCGATGTGCAACATTACTTCACTGTAAATTTACACAAATTCAAATTCAAAAATTAATTTTTCGGATGCCATTTCACAATCTAAAATTAATTAACGCAATTCCGAGAGTTTTCGGAATTATTTCTTTAAATTACTGGGAAAAGGGACTTTATATATTTACGAAACGCAAACGGGCGTTTGTTAATTAAATTTCGGAATGCAAAGTGGCATTCGAAAAACAAATTTTCAAATTTTAATTTATAGATCGATTTAAAAATTTACAATAAAAATAATGTTGTACATCGATACCTGTATTGACTCTTGTTCTTTCTGAGTGTTAAGTTTGACATAACTTTGAGAAGAGTCTTATTTATTTGTTCTTAATCTAATATAAATGTGTTGTAGGCAACATAAGTCACTTTCTGCTTTTGCTCTCTCGCATATGCACCTAACTGTTACATTCAAACGTAAAACTTTCATTAAAAACCCATTATCTTTGGCTACTTTGGGTATGTTTATTTAAATAATTATAATATAGTAATATTGTACAATTTGAATTAGAGTACAAGATGAGTTCGTAACGCATAACTTTGCTTTACATCATGTGTTGTCCATTTGGTGGAGCATATTGCGGTTGCTGGCTTGTAGACGGTCCTGTAGGTCCAGGCGGACCGTACGGCCCAGGCGCGGGGCCGCTCTGAGGTGGATATCTGTTATGTAATATTAAATATGTCATTGTTATATTAAAACAAAATATTGACAATATTTTGTTTTAACATTTACTAAAATCTATGGGAAAAATATAGAACAATTTTTAATGTGTCACATGTAAGACCTCGAAAAAGAAACACGCAAATACATTGACAGAAATATTACGAAGCTTGGAAATTTTCGATTTATAATTTTACTACCAAATAAGCTTCGTGGGACACACAACGAACGTTATAACAAAAAGAAAGCAAACAAACAGTTAAGCATACCCTTGTGGCTGATAAGGGAGGCTAGTTTGTTCAGGCGGTGGTAGAGACGGCCCCTGTGGAGGCGGCCTAGGCGGATGTTGGTGGGGGCCCGGTTGAACGTGAAAGTGTTGCGGTAAAGTCATACTCGGCATACTGGTAGGACCCATATATTCGTTGCTCGGTAAATTCGCATACGGTCCTACCGGACCTGAGCCCGTTCCAACGGGAAACGGGGAAGGCGGCATACCGTTAAACATCTATTGAGAGATACTATCGTATAAACCATTGAATTTTCGAACACGTTATCAGAAGTCAAAGCACTTACATGCGGTGGTGGTGGTCCCGGATTGTGGAATGGATACTGATTAATATGTGGTTGCATTTTGGGCAAAGTGTAACCAGACGGCGTTGGTGGCGCAGGTTCCCTCATCAGCATGTGATACAAATTAAGAGCATCGACCAAATCCGAACTTAATTGAGTAAGCTGCGCGTGTCGTTTATCTACTTTCTCTAAAGCCGCGTCGATCAGAGGTCCCATTGCGGTAACTTGTTCTGCAAAATACAATCGACACAAATACTCAGATGTTTGAAATCTTTTAACTTATTACGATCTCATTAATTTGCGTAGTTACCTTCCAAGTCAAGCATTTCCTGAGGATCGGACGTATCACATTGCGGGTCAGCTTCGTGGAGCAGATGTAACAATCTGTCCATTTTCTTTTCGTCTATTTCAACTTCGACTACTTCCGGCTCGCGTTTTACCATTTTCACTTCTACTTCTTCGGCAAATTGCACTAATTTCTTGTTACTATGTTCTAATTCTGTACACAGTCAAGCGATGATTAAATTAAAAACCTCAACTAATTTAAAGAATGTGACATGTGAGAAAATTAAATCGCGTATGTCTTACTTGTAAATTCTTCTGGCTCAACAGACAAATCAGCAGTAACAAAATTAGCGGGAAAGAGTCCTTCTCCTCTTTTATTGCTGCCTTTCCACCAATTTGGATCAGAATCGTCTATAATATTAACTGAAAGACCAAATTCATCGTAAATAAAAACAGATTTCTCATTTTTAAAATTTAAAAATTTATATATTTTTCAAATTACATACTTATTTCTCCTGCTAAGAATGTCAGTTCATTATCCTCAGCAGCTTCAAAATCATATAAAGCACGCACTTTCCTGCCTTCTGAGGTACTTGAGGATCCAAGTACAGAATTTACACTAGGATATAAATTGGTACTCTTTTTCGAGGATGGCGAGCTATGTGATGATGTGCTTTGAGTGTGAGCCTTTGTTTCTTGCAAAGAAAGCTGTATAGCTATAAAATATTTTTATATCCATGTATAATAATTTTAACAATTTAAAATAAATTATATAAAATACAATGTCGCAACATACCTCTGGCAATATCTTCTTCTTCTTGTGAATTTGTTACTACATTAGGATCTCTGCTCATAGTGCTGGTACGTTTTGTCTAAAAAAAAAATAAAAAAAAAAAAAAAAACAAATCAAAATTACGCATAAAATAATTTATACTAGTGATACAATGAGTCACTTCATTTCTAAAACTCTGTCTGCAGCATGATACTCACTGTCTCTACAAAATGAAAGTCATGACCTTCACTCTTTAATTTATTATACAAGCTTGGGATCAAATTCAACTGTGGATCTGACTTGAAATCACCCTCCGCCCATTTCTTCAAAAGTGCTTTGATTTTCTCCACTATTTTAGGTTGTGGGTGATGCACAAGTTTTCTTAAATCATTTTCAAAATCTCTGGATGCAATTTCCAAGTGAAACACCTTTCCACAGTTACTAGCACAAGCATCTAACAACTAAGCAACACAGCAAAGATTAATATAAAAAAGAAACATTTGCTAAAACATATTAAGAAATTAATTATTTTTAAAAAAAAACATTAATACTAACTGTTATGGCTTGCATAACAACATGAGGATCTTGATGATACAATCTCTTAACAATACAACGGAAACAATCCTTAGCATTCTGAGTGGATGTGCCTACTTTGTCACAGATATCCATAATCTTTCCCCATTCCTCCGTTACATTTTTCTCGTTGGTTGCCTTTTCTGATGTCGGACAATTCAACAATGTTGACATATAAAAACCATAGAGATACACACTAATCAATTTGATAACACATACGTATTACACACATACGGATATTTGGTCTTGCTAAAAATACGTCAACAACATATTCGTGTGCAAAACCATCGTGACCAAAAAAAAAGCAACTAGCAGATAAGAATGCGATATGAAAATTAGAAAGCTTTTTTTATGCCAATTTATACCGACACCCAACAAAAACATCTGTTGTTGCGCACGGACTGAATCATCGTCGTGCAACTTCGACAAACACATCGGTCGACGCGAGGGGCACGGGGCTCGTATTTTGTAGATCGAGAAACGGCGAAAATTCGCGCAAAACTACTCGACGATACAAGCGGAGGTCAAGTGTCAACAACCGCTTAATGCGTTTAATGCAGACACGTCGGATCCGCAATCTTTACGGGTTTCCTCATGGGAGCGAGCGGAGAGCTCGATAATCTCAAATTCGCGATAACGCGCGTTCCCCGAGGGGTGACCCGTGCATGACACTTGTCGCGATTCAAGCTGGACGATAATGATGATATCTAGGCAAAGCGAATTACTCACCGACGTCAGCGTCGAAAGGCGAGGTAGTCGGAAAGAGGCCCATTATCGACGGCTCTCTTTCTGCCAACAATTCGACTTTTCTACGCTCGTCGCGCTCGCACGATCGCACGTCGTCCCAGACTCGGGCTGCTCATCCAGCTGGTATTTACTCACAAACACTGCTGACTGTGTGACCGATGATGGTTTCCTGATCTGCTGCACCCGGCGGACATCTTTGCTCTCTCGGATCTGCCAAAATCCTCGATATTTATCGAAACTCGCGTCGAGTCCGCGATGGCGGACGTGCGACTTTGTTCGACAAAGATGACATTCACCAGTGATTTGTAAAAGGATCAAACGCTTCGTTGCACCGAAGAAAACGCGATTTCAGAAAGACATGCTTATATACAAACGTGTACAAAAAAAAATTCTAACAAAAATTATTCGGCTTAAAAGTAGAAACAAAAGAGAGGCGCATCGATGTATCGAACGATAATTGAAGACAGTGACGTATCGAACTCGGTAACGCGAGGGCGTAGTAACTATTCACGAGCATGCGCGGCCAGTATTGTTGTTTTCTTGTCTATATATAAATTTTTTTTAATATACTAGCACAACACAGACGCGCGGAGGTCACTGACCGCAGTCGCGCGACCGCGGCAGGTCAATGACCTCGGTCGCGCGACTGCGGTCAGAGACCCCCCCCCACCAAGGCCGCGCGGCCGAGGCCAGTGACCCCGCCCCCACCAAGGCCCGCGCCGGCGGTCAGTGACCCCGCCCCCACCAAGGCCGCGCGCCCGCGGTCAGTGACCCGCCAAGGCCGCGCGGCGGCGGTCAGTGACATTACTCTGTAGTATGTATATAATACAATATAAAGTATAATATTATAAATATATAATAAATTATATATATATATAATATGTATATATATATTATTTAATGTTATATATATATATTGTTTGATTTTTCTATTTGAGTGGTTGATTCGACCTTTGAAATTTTGAATACAGAAAGTGGACATCTAATTAAGTTATACATCAAAAGTATAATGTATATATATATATGTATATGTTAAATTCGTTTATCTGCAAATTTATAGCGTTTTCAATCCGGTGAGATTGAACCTTTTGGAAAATCACTCTTGTGCTCCCGAGCGCGACGATGTCTACGTTTTACGCGTGTGAACTACGCGAACTAACTAAACCGGTAAGTAAAAATGCTATCTTGTCGATCGATTTGGTTCTGTTCCGCGCTACGTGAGCGCACTTTGCCGCGCTTTTCGATACGTTCGAAACTCGAGCAATCATGGCGAAACGCGCGACACGGAGCAGAGCTACGTTTAACTTGTTGCTGTATTTCTCGCGGATTATTATCGTTTCGCGCGCGAATAATCAGTCGTGCCGTTCAAACTGTAGAGCTAAGTGCGATTTGCAGCAAAGTGTAATCGGTGATAGTCACAATCGACAAATGTACGGAGAAATTGTTTCGTGAATCGTTCGCGCACGAGACACAAAATGACATACGCGCGACGCGAGAAAAACTTCTTTCGAATTGGTACGTATTTTTCGCGATTAGTTTTGTCTCGCGCGCAAATAAGTGAATGTTATTAGTTATCAAATGTTTTACTGATACGTGATTAACATCGCGCACTTGCGGGATAACAACAATCGACGAACTTGACAGTGCAATTTGTATCACGGCTGTTCGCGTTTTCCACGAAGCCCGCGCGAGGAACTAAATTTTGTTATTGCAACTGTACGATTGTAAAACCGAAAGACTTTTTGTAAGCTGCGGAATTCTCGATTGCCAGACAATATTACGGAACAGGATAAAGTATAATCAAGTAACTATCTCCTTAGATCGTTACGTTTTATGTATTGCTGCTAATT